GACTGGACTGCCATTTGTCAGAAATGGTGTAGGGTCTCCTGCTTGGGCGAGGGGGGAGAGGGTTTGGACTAGATGACCTCTAAAGTCCCTCCCAACTCTGTTAAATCTATAAAAGTTTGCCTGGACATAACCCCCCCCCCCCCCCCAAAAAAAGGACCCCCGCCCCCCCCTCCCCCGCAAAGGAGCGCCCCCCCTTCCTGTCCCCTTCCCCTCCCTCTTTCCTCCACAGCTCCCCCCACCCCACCCACCCCCGACAGCCAGCAAGGAGCCCCGGCCGCTCACCAAGTCCTCGTCCGAGGGGCTCCCGGGTCAACGCCGCTTCCCTTTGACCGAGGTGGCGGCTCCTGCTGCTGTTGAGTCCCCCCACTTTTTTTTCCCCCGTCTAAGGTCCGCCCCTCCCTCAACCTCCGCCAGGGGGTGGAGCTTGCAAGGGAAAAGCCCAGCCCACCTTGGGGTGCCGGGCTCGGCCGGCAGAGGGCGCCCCGAGGCGATGGACAAAAGGCTCAGGCCCGGGGACGTTGCCGGAGGACAACTTCTTGGAGCAGCGCTCTCCAACCTTGGCAACTTTTAAGACTGGTGCCCTTCGACTCCCCGAATTGAAAGCTGGCTGAGGAAGTCTGGGAGGGGAAGCCCACAAGCCTTAAAGTTGCCAAGGTTGGAGATCCCTGTCCTGGAGCGCTCGGGGTCGCAAAGCGAAGCGGCTGCGGGTTCAGTTGTAGGAGTGGAGGGGTGTTGGCAGAGGAAGGGTTGGGGAGCAAAGCACGCGCAGACTGGGAAACCTCACGCTCAAAGGGCCTCTGCACATGGACAGAGCGTGCTTCTTGCAGAAAAGAATGGAATGGAATGGAATAGAATAGAATAGAATAGAATAGAATAGAATAGAATAGAATAGAATAGAATAGAATAGAATAGAATTAAGAATGGAATAGAATAGAATAGAATAGAATTAAGAATGGAATGGAATGGAATGGAGTAGAATAGAATTAAGAATGAAAAGGAATGGAATGGAATAGAATAGAATAGAATAGAATAGAATAGAATAGAATAGAATTAAGAATGGAATAGAATAGAATAGAATAGAATAGAATAGAATAGAATAGAATAGAATAGAATGGA